ACAAACTGCAATTATGAATACCTTAATGCAATGAAAGTTGTACTAATTGAGGCCAAATATTTTCAAAGCTTACTATTTCATTAAAACAACGCCTTTCTTTGGAAACTACAGTCAAGTTGTATTCAAGTGGAGAATGTTACTGTTTTATGACATGATTTAATATCATAAATACGTAACATCTGTACCACTGGCCCACTGCTTTACTAAAAGAACATATCCATATTCTAAGTACTATATGTATAATCCAAATGTATAACAAATAATTGATTATCATAAAATGGTTTGGCCCTATTAGGCGAAATGGTTTGATTTTGTTCATAATTAAATAATTTGCTTTCCTTTAAATGGACAATCATAAAAAATTACATGAAGACAATTTTAAAATTCTTCACATCAATTATGATTGCAGCATACCTGGAGTGACAGTTTCTACCTCGTCCCACTCTGCTATGGCAGCAGCCAGGTCTGAGTTCTCTTCAGATTCACCTGAAATGTCAAACCAATACATTAAAAAGAAAATATTTTTCAACAAATAAGACTTCAACAGAAATTCAGACAGTTTGAAGTATTAAGCAAACAAGACATCAATGTAAATTATAGACATGAAACATGCTAAAAAGGATAGTTAATCAGTATTTAGTTCTGACAGTTAATTTAGTTCATTGATATTAATATAATTCAAATGGTTCATACTTTGACCATCTTCGCAATGAATTTTCTTCCTCATTTCTGTATTAACATCTCCATTTTCATCTACCTGTCCTTCCTAAATAAAGAATGAAAGATACAATTATGACATCAACAAAAATAAGCAGTGATCGATATTTCATCTTCAAATTTAGTAAACATTTGGTTTCTTACAATTTATTGATATTTTTGACTAAACCTTACTTCTTACAGTTGTAATGTATCACAAATATTTGATTTCTTACAATTTATTGATTACTTATTACTTATTACATGTGTTATGTATTACAAACACTTTGTTTGGATAAATGTTTACAAAGCTAAAAATGTTATATCATTACATATGCAGTCATACATACCTGGTATTTATCTGCTGGTTCTCCTGCTCCATTTTTCTTCAATAAAAAGAATTGATTTAATATTTTGATAGTAACATAAACAAATTCTTATTTGACAAAAGCTAGTAAAGGAGGAAAAAAGTGTATTCTTTCTTCAATATTTCACTTGTTTTAAAAAGTCTGAATGAAATATAAACATGCTCAGTTGTAAATTAAGAAGCCATACATGCCATGATCTCATTCTTCAGAATACAATATTTACTTCTGATTCATGTAAAGCAAAAAGACCTCAATAAAATAAGAAACCTCCAGTTTTACAGAAGGTAGTGTTGTCTAACCTTGTTATTAGCTGACTGTCCCCATTTAGGTGCAGGTAATGTTCTTGCTGCAGATGTTTGTTTCATCTTGAATATAAATTGCACTCAAAGAAGTTTCATGTGCAAGCAATGGATACCATATTTATAAATGGAAGCCGAGCTGAAATAAACAAGAACGAGATGTGCACCAGTACATAAATTTAACTCACATTTCTCACTTTAAACAAAAAAATCCACTAGAGTACTTAAAGTTTTTTGTGTTTAGTTGCTGTTTTGCTTTGAAAGGATAATATTAAACCGCAACATGTACATCTTTCTTCTTTTAGTTTGGTTTCACATTTCGTCTCTAATAGGTTCTGGATTTTCCGGTAAAAAAGTGACGTTCAGTGCCATGATTTTACACGTAACAACAAAAGAACAAACACCATGTAACAGAACTTTTACAGCCAGTGACTCGAGAGCCATTACGAGCTTGCAACTCATTTACAATGACTGACACATTTCCAGAGATGCTCGTTTGTTTACCTCGTCCGCCATTGCTGTTTTCCAGAGTGAATGTACCGCAGCGAACTGCACCAAAATTCTACAAATAATCGAAGAGAAGTAACGTTATAAAATTAAGCAAAACGAACTCAATCAAATTTCAATGGTTTTAAAAATATTCTGAAAGGACATTTGAATGTACATAAAACACTTTCATATATCAATATAATTTTGAAGTTTGTAAATAAGTGCGGGACCCATCACAATGGCGACGTCCATACTTAAAAAAGCTTTCCCTAATTTACGCTATGTTTGGCGCACGTATTTTAATGTAAATGCGACGAAAGTGGTAAACATAGATGTTTCTAAAAGCTTGCGATCTATAGGTGAGAATATCAAAAACTTAATAGTTAATAATTATGATTCGAATCTTCTACTAAAGTTATGTTCGTTTAAGTAAGGGAACGTCTCCTGGACCTAAACTCCATGATCTTTTCCCCCCGGACACTTTAAATAGTCTCGGGCATCCTGTATATGTTTTTGATAATTCGGAAGTTCAATTTGTCTCGGTATCTGGCCTTGCACACTTACCTGCTGTGAAGTGCGTGCAGCATGTTGAGAGTTGTTCCTGTAAATGTAAGGCCGAATGTATAGCAGGTCCGAATAAATTCAGTTTATAAACTGAGGCCCAAGACTTCGAAGAGATGACTTGTTTATAAGGGCTCAATGTAAAATTGCTTTGAAAGTATATGGGAGGGGGGGAAAGATGGTTATGTTACACGTGTCCTTCCAAAATATGTACATTGCAAAGATATGTACGTCTGAGATTTTTTTTTCTAACAAAAAGTTAACTCTGTTCAAGATTATTTTCAAGGGAAATCAAAATAATTATTTAAAGTCCAAATCTCAAATTTGTGAGATACTGTATGGCAACTTAAAAAAAATAATTTTCAGTGTGGGAGCAGCTGCTTACACAACCACACATTTGAGAAGCATAACATAAAAAGAATACTATTGCCAGCCCTCATTTTTTTTACTACCCCATTAAAGTTATTTCTATTATCTAAATGCATTTATATTAGATTAGGATCTTTTCAAATAAAACTGCAAAATGTTCTCAAAGTTCGCTGCTTTACATTCTTGTTCATCACCAGATTTGCATATTTTGACATGACATCTCATCATTTGAAACCCTTCTAGCTGGTCAGCGACATGAGAGGAAGTTCTGTACAATATCAACAGTAACGAGTACAAGTAGCTCGTGTTGACATGTTGACTAAAGAACTTTAACATTTTATCTGTCAATGTTATAGAGATACTTGACCCTGCCTAAAGCATTTCACTAACACGATCAGTTTAGGATGAGGCAAACAATGGACAACTGGTGCATCCATATGTGTGTGCGTGCATGCGCAATTATAAACTACATACATTTGATAGACAAGTGATAACTTTTTCATCACAGCATGGGAAGGTAAAATATTAGCATTAATTGCTCTATTTCAATATTTATTAGGAAGTGCAAATTTTACAACATCAGCTAGGCTGCAAAAAGATTTTATCCATGATGAGGATGAATTTAGTGGGAAACAAGATGAAGCTACAGATGCTGACATTCATGATTTGCAGTCAAAAGATGACGGGGGCTTCTCACGAGAAAAACTGATTCGTGCATTTCAAGCACAAGAGCGGAGGGCAGCTAAAATTTTAAGAGAACAAAAGTCTGATAAGGTAGAATATAGCTTGAGTTATTTTTATAAAACACACCATATCCTTTCAAGGCTGTTGTCTGCTCTGTAACTTGGCACTTAAAGCCTCCAAGATACATTTTGAACATCTGTTCCGTGTAGCACAGTCCCTTGTAAGGTTTTAGAGTTGGTTTACAGCTTCTAGGTATTATTGTACTCGGATATTGAAATGAAATGGTAAATAGAAAATAAATGGGCTTCAGGGATTAATATGATGCTATTTTTTAATGACGGTGTGACCACAGACAGTTGGCAAGAATATACTGGGGTGTTTGTTAGGGTTTAATGTGGATTTTTTTTTTTCAAAGCCTTTCAGGCAGATGAGCAATCCATACAAAAAAAAGCGAAGAAAGTGTTACTTATGTGAATATGATGTTAAGCTGGATTACAAGGTATTTTTGTGGGTAATTTTGTAAATTTGTTTTTGGAATGTAAAAAAAAAGTTTTGATTATACAATATGATGTGTTTTATAATTAAATTGCACTAATCTTTTGTTTTTGGTAATTTATGAAGACAAAACTTGGGGATTGCTACAGATACTTGCACTTCTAGATCTTGTTTCTTGTATTTTTGTTACAGAATACTCAACTGCTTAACCAGTTTATTTCTCCCCATACTGGCAGAATATACAGCAGTAAGATTACTGGTTTATGCATACCAATGCAAAAGAGAATAGTGGTCCAAATAAAAAGAGCAAGACGATTTGGTGAGTGCACTTCTGCAAAGAGATAATAAATTGTAGCATGTGTAAAAACATATGCAAGTGGTTATCTAAATTAAGTATTTCAAAATTCTTTTTCAAAATTTGTTCTAATGACACTAGGCTAAATTATTAGTGAATAAGAGTTGTCTTATTTTAGGTTTCATGCCCACACTACACAGAGAAGTGACATATATCGGTGATGCAGTACCATACAAAGATCCATATTTTAAACCCTCTAGCGAAAGCTCAAATTTCACTAA